CACTCGGGAAGCTCAATCCTCTGATGTAAACCACCAGGCCTCTGATGCTCGTACTTAACCTGCTGACAATTCAAACAACGAGCCACATATGCTACGATATCCTTCTTCATCCTACGCCACCAATAATGCTGCCGCAAGTCCCGATGCATCTTCGCGGCGCCCGGGTGAATAGAGTACATGGAGCTATGGGCCTCCTCTAAAATCAACTCTCGAATCCCATCGACATTGGGCACACAAATTCGCCCCTGCAATCTCAAAACACCATCGTCACCTAAGGTAACCTGCTTGGCACCTCCTCGCTGCACCGTGTCTCTAAGGACACATAAATGGGGATCATCAAACTGCCGATCACGGATACGCTCCAATAACGAAGAGCGAGCAACTGTACAAGCTAACACACGACTGGGCTCAGAAACATCCAGTCTCACGAACTGATTGGCTAAAGCCTGAACGTCCAAAGCAAGCGGTCTCTGACTGACTGGAACATAAGCAAGACTGCCCATGCTGGCTGACTTCCTACTCAAAGCGTCGGCCACCACATTGGCCTTCCCCGGATGATATAAAATAGTGACATCATAATCCTTCAACAACTCCAACCACCTCCTCTGTCTCAAATTCAACTCCTTCTGCTTGAACAAGTACTGAAGACTCTTGTGGTCAGTGAACACCTCACATGCCACGCCATACAAATAGTGCCTCCATATCTTCAAGGCGTGGACAATAGCCGCCAACTCTAAATCATGCACTGGATAGTTTTTCTCATGAATCTTCAACTGCCTCGAAGCATAGGCTATAACCTTGCCATCCTGCATCAATACTGCACCAAGTCCAATACGGGAAGCATCACAATAGACGGTATAAGGCCCAGATCCTGTGGGCAAGACCACAGTCAGGGCTGTCTTGAGCTCCTGAAAGCTCGCCTCACACTCCTCCGACCATCTGAACTGGGCACCCTTCTGGGTCAACCTGGTCATCGGGGCTGCAATAGATGAAAACCCCTCCACAAACCGACGGTAGTAGCCTGCTAACCCCAAGAAACTCCGAATCTTCGTAGCTGATACTGGTCTAGGCCAGTTCTTGACTGCCTCTATTTTTTTCGGGTCCACCTGAATACCCTCAGCTGATACAACGTGACCCAGAAATGCTACTGAACTCAACCAGAACTCACACTTGGAGAACTTGGCATATAACTGACTATCCCTCAGAGTTTGAAGAACCACTCTAAGGTGCTGCTCATGCTCCTCCTGG